GACTCTTAAACAAAGAATTCAGCATATAGTTAAATAAAAACAAACTATTCTTCTAGCAAACAGCAAAAACGGAAGATATTAAACAATAATCACACTTGTAATATTCTTTAACTTATATAACTGCCCACTGAGTTTGCATATTCTAACAAAATCTGGATTTATTTTAAGAGACGAGCTGATTCTCAAACAGAAATAGATCCTGACATGCAAGATTAGGTATTCCAGAAAAAAAGGATTACCGTATCTAATCTGATTTACTGTCACATGTTATATTGATGGATTACTGCTATAAATGAAGAGATTGGACCGAGAAAAAATCTCTCCTTAATATAATTTTGAATTTGTTTCGTGGGAAGTTAATTATAAAGCGATGTTCTAAAAATAATAATTTATGTGAAATACATGACAATGTGGCGATAATATTTTCTGCTGAAAAGACAGGAAATGCTTCCACGGAAAACACTAAAGGAATTATAACAATAATCATAACTACAGTGTTATATCTAAAATGTGTTGTATAGAAATTCCAGGTTGCATATACAACTTTGGTTCGGACCGTAATCCTTATGAATGTTCTCTGTATAATTACTTCAAGACTTGAAATATCACCTGTTTTCCGAATCGACCTCAGCATTAAAAATGTGTAATGTTTTTGTTTGGAAATATTATTGTTATAATAATAATATAAAAACTAGAGAAATTGCTGGCATACTGAAAACTGACATTTATTAATTTATTCATTTGGCAAACTACAGTGATTTTATATATTACACTCTTGAAGAATTTATTAGTCAACAACGAAAACTTTTATAAAAAATTAAAAAATTGTTATTTTTCAACAATCTCAAAAGTGTTGCATTACGGCTGGATCTAATTTGAATTTGTCATGGAAAAATTCACCTTAAGTCTGAAGGGATTTTGTAATTACTTCAGTTTCAATGTATCTTAATTCCTGTCCAGTGGAAAATAATTCAGCAAGACAAATTCATCAGCAGCAAAATAGTTCATTTAATCTCTTAAACATCCAAAACAGTCACAGCAAACGAATAAGAAAAAAAAAAGAAATTGAGATTATTCTACGTTGAATATTGAGAACAATATGCTTAATGGCTGATCGCTCGTATATGAATATGCTCGTCTGCTTGTGGAGGTAAGCAAATTACGATTGAAAACGCCCATTCATGACCATATGTGTTTGTTCAACACCCACTGTACCAACAATTATTTTATTCTGTGACTATGATATGTAGATCTTAGTTACAGTTTTTGGCAGAGTGCGAATCATTTGGCGTGATCAATTGTTTGAACAAGATCATTACGCTACAAAGACTCCATATTCGCATAAACAGCGACGAACAATTAGGTCTAAATAATTTCAAACAAAAGAATTTGATCAAAGAATGAAACGATTTTTTATGCATTTTGCAAGGGTACAGCGAAATGAGATCGATTCTCGACGCTGATAAATCACCTTCCTGACAAATCGAACACGGTGAGGTTCGAAAGCTGGTTTCATTGTCGGAATGCAAACGTTCTAATCACGCGGCTACACGCCCAAAGGATGAAATGATTACCCACAACCAAATTGTGAAAAAGTATTTTCGTCAGAAAATCATTAAAAAAAAAACCCAGTATTCTTGAGTCTTTCATTTGGAGTGCTTGCTTTCCCTCATGCAAAACACTGACATCAATTATATTTAGCAGAAATGAAAGATATGTATGTATATGTTATGTAAAATCTATGATTCCAAATTCTACATGTATCGCGATTACGCTTTTAAAAGCTATAACAGGCTATATTTTATTTGATGATACTAATACTGAAAATACATTTGGAGAGTCACTATACCATATAATTATGTGTAGTATAAAAAATAATAATAATAAAAATATTAACGATTACCTCAGAAAAGTGAGCTTGAGGCAAAGGATTGATAGATAATTAAGAAGATCGCCAAGAAGGTAAATGACGAAAATGAAGTCGATTACCTCCTCCTTTTTGCCCTTCATAATTCTCTGCCACAAGTAAATACTAATGCTATAAATGTCAGACTCTCTAGCTTTTTAAATATATTAATGACCTTCTTTCAAAATCCAAAATAGACAAAAATAACCAAAACCAATACACAAACCATTTGGCAGACAACCTTTTATCGAATTTTATGTCCTATTCATGCGTAGAGAGAAATATTACCTATCAGATCTCTTTTACTTTTATATATATATATATATATATATATATATATATATATATATATTAAATTTCTATCTTTTGATATAAGCTTTAAAATTTTATATGCAACCTACTTTTTTGTGGGAAATTGAATGCTCATTTATCTCGTGTTCATTCTTAGATTCTAGGATATTACTACCACTCTACAGGATACTGATAGTTAACGTGAGATTTCCTTGTAGGTCTTTTCAAGTCGAGCATCAATCTTGAAAACAAGAATATTGAACATTTCACTATTTGTTACTACACTAGAAATTTACCATTTCTTATACAGTTTGCTTGAAAATCGTTATGATACATAAAAACCCTGGTCGACAAATCATTTTTAATGTTTTAGCGAAATATATTTTTGTATAACAAATATTTTACAGCAATGTTTTTAATACAATAATATCAAAATCAACTCCCCATAGTTGCAGGCATGAAATTGAATGGCGGATTTTGATTAAGATTTTAATATTATTTCGTTAAAATTATTATAATGTCATATGATAGGATAAGATAAGGGAAACTTAGATTCATAAATGTTTCCTGTTGGCTACTTCCCCCGTCATTCTGCCGTACTCCGATCCATATTTTATCCCATTTTTATATATATATATATATATATATATATATATATATATATATATATATATATATATATTGCACAATAGTTTTAAAAAATGTTCCAACACAGTAATTAACCATACCGATTGCAAAATGTGTCACTGTTTTATAAAGCTATGTTATAGTGGTAAAATTTGAAACATTTCTAATATTTCGATGGTTGTCCCACTGAAACTTAGAGCGAAGCTGACTGGAGTTCCAACACCTGAATAGCCACCAACAGCGACAAGGTCGAGGAGGTTGAATCAGTCTGAACGGGACCAGCCCCGAAGAACCCAACGGGGGAATAGTCGAAGAAGATGTACACAGTCTTCACGGCCAAGCTGCTGCAAGAGATCATCGCCATATATTATCGGTGTGTTTCTGTTGGCTGCTTCCCGCGTGACTTGCGATGACGGGAAGTTGCGGCATCTAAACTCGTGTCTACCCTGGCCGATTCAAATTTACCGCAGCCCATTACAAATGGGCAAGTCCCTAGAAAAGGTGGGATAATCATTAGTCATCGCAAATACGTCTGGGTGGCTAAACGCAGACAGCTGGTGACCCACACTGGCAGTCGAAACTTAGGATTTCGTGCTGACAAAACCTCTGTTAGTTTTAATCGCTTATCGTATTATGAAACGGACGTACGATGAAGCACATCATGGAGAAAGACCAGCATTCACGTTTAGTTAACTGACTTGTTTAGGAAACAACACGGCTGTTTTGAGTTAAATCAAACACGTCGAATAAAAACAAAATCATAGAAATAGGATCCACCTATATGATGTTTTTGAAAGGGAAAGAGGCAATTTGAATTTGCTGCGAGAACTCTTACAGGATCCTAACGTCTTCCACAATGTTACCATCGAATGCTTGATGACCCCCCCCCCGGATCCCACTTAATCCTAACACTTTCCTGAGACTCATCTCCGTATATGCATTTATCCTTGTCTGTAACGATGCCATCTAAAACATAAAACATTTTGAACACAATAATCTGAACTACACTATCGGATAAGCGCCTGGTTCATGGTGATTTATAAGGCAAATATGGCCGTGATCATTGTAAACGGAAGGGCAATATATATATATATATTTTAATGTATTATTTTAAATTTCAAATAGGCAATATATAGTTGAATAAGAAAAATCTCTATATAGTTATGAGTGATGATCTTCATTTATGATATCAAGACTAAAGTTTACATTGTGAAAGACATATACAGTTTTGATATCATTTATAAAAACAACATTGATAATGTACTGCTAAATGCTATCAATGAGATCCTTTACAAACAGAACAGAGTGAGGGGGTTCCTGGAATCTTAATTTAAATCTTACAAAATCTAATTGAAATAAAAAAAAATAAATGAATATAATATTAATATCTGAAAACTGGGAAAATTTAAAGAAAAATATTTTTAAACTACGCTCAAAATGGAATTTCAAATTTGATGATTACTGGAATGCAATATGTCTAGATGTTGGGAGTTTAACTTTCATTTGGGATTGATACGAAATACAAGATTACATTATATATATATATATATATATATATATATATATATATATATATATATAGTAACGTTTTAGTAAAAAAAGCGCCAAAACAAAAATGAAATACGTGGTAATACGGAATTCAATGATAAATTTGTAAAAGCATTGATGAGGATGGTGAAGCTGATGAAGAGCTATAAACGTATAACTTAGCATACACTCCCACACACATATATAAAATATGTTGCATTTGATATACGCGTGCGTTTGTGTTTTCTTGATGTGTGTGCATTCATATATAATGATGATACTAGGTTGTTCTTAACTGATCGGCTCATAATTGATCTAAGTGGCCTATCTATCTTTTGTGACGTGATGGTGTTTCATAAGTTGCCGATGATTGATGATGATGATGATGATGATGATGATGGCCTTGACGTCAGCATGGATTATGAATGAGATTTGCTACGAATATGATGACGATGATGTTGATGATTACGATGATGGTGAATATGACTATGAGAGCCATGATGATGATCTGGACGATAACAATGATGATGAAAATGAAGCTTTCAATGGTAATGATTATAGCGATAATTAATATGCTGGTAATAATAAGGAAATTGGACAACAATAACCAAAGTTTCTATAGAAGCTATAGGATAAAATGTGGTTTTACCTTCAAGCTCAGTATTTTCTCTACGGGATTGGGTACTGACGACTGAAAGAAAGAAAAAAAACATCGGCCATCTTGAAGCTATTCGTTCTACATAGCATCAAGCACGGGCAACTGACATCCAGTTCCGGTCACGTGACAATTTCGTAGAAGGCACCTTGCAGCAGTAGATTTTTTTTTTTTTTTTGGTGATAAAATTATTCGATACCGTTTTCTTACTCTTTTCATTTTTTTTGGACTTTGCTAAACAACCACCTTTCTCAATTTTGTTTTAATTAATTCCTTAAACTTTGGTCAAGTTATTAAAGCTTTTTGTTTAGAACCATTCACGTTGAATTTCCTGAAATTTGTTGAAATATATGAAAACTCTAACAGGAAAAACGTATTAAAATCCTTCAATATCTATTCCAAGTAACTTATCGATATTTACATATAATTTTCAATTCAGAGTTTAGCTTAATATTCTTTGATTCCATTAGAATTCCGTATGGATCCCTATATAATTTTGATTTACTGTAATATAAAAATGGTTCAAATATTCCCATTAAGGTTTTTATTTATTTAAAAATATTTCATAAAACAACTGATTATTGTTTTTTATATATAATTATTATTTAAAAATGTGGGGTATTTTATATAAATATTCCTCTAAATCGTAAATCATCAAGATATAAAGATTTCAATGGATTTTTTTTTCATTTGGGGACAAACATTATCCAAATTGTTGCTTTAAAAACTGGTCGTAAGAAAAAACATATACATATTGAAAGTATACAATTAAACTACAGATCAAATACATTTCATTTTTAAAGACCAGAACCGGAAATCATTATTCTATCTTAGCTGTTCATTAATTCAAGTTTAGAAAACTTTTCAAATCATGCAATTTTGTTTCATTTTTTGACATTTTGTGGCCAAGCGTTTCCTTCAAACAGCAATAACTTTAACTATTTTTTAAAAAAAATTAACAATTCTTCAATATACAAACATCTCTAACATTTTCATTGTCAGAAGATAGCATTTGGTTGTTTTGCAAATTCAACTTTTGTTGTATTGTTCGCTTGTTTTGTTCTTTTTCCTGTAGTAAATAGCAATAAAATTTATATATAATATATTCTCTTGACAACCAGTAATAAATCTGAAAGAATACACAAGTTGTTGAGAGAAGTTTGAGTAAGAAAAGAGAAAACGCTTTTTTTGCCAGTGTTGAGAGAAGCCCCATAAGTAGTGAGGAGTCAGTCCAGAGGTGATAACTTGACTCAGAGTTTAAGAGAGAAAGAGACAGAGATAGGGAAAATACAGGGAAAGAGAGAGATTGTGCTTCCAAATAATAATTAAGCGCGTGATTGATGTATACAATATATTAATTATGGGTCATGGGTATAGTTATGTTAATATTAAGATGTTATACAGGTAGAAATTCATCAAATATTGACTTTATTTTAATCAATCTCAATGACACCTGATGCGAGAAAATCTATTTACAGTGGGATTAATAACATGAAGTCAAAATACAAGTGTATATATATATATATATATATATATATATATATATATATCTCCGAGGAAAAAGAAACGACATGTTCTGTCTAACTTTTTTTTATATTGAGCTTTTAAAATCTTAGAACAACAATTATATTGTGATCAAATATTTGGATAAACTGTCCGAAGTTTCTGATATGCATTTAAGTTTCTTCAAGTAATTTTGAATGTCACAGTCTCTTTCATGAACCAGTGTTGTTTATATGTGGTAAGCAGGTATCTTCCCTCTACTGACTGGTATTCATTGGAAAGCTGGAGGTTTGATAGTCTGTATTATGCGGTCAAACTCGCAATAACAGGTACACAAGACGTCACCGTAAACTAATTCAAACTTTCAGCTTTACAGTGTGCAGACAAATAAATTCTGCCTACTACACAGACACCACGATTGTTCTTTTAGAATGACTGAAACAGTCGAATGTTCTTGAACGAAGCAACACCACAAACATGAACTTCAAACATTTTATCCACGATTTTGATTACAACACAACACACGTTTTTCTACAATTGGGAAAATACAATAAATCTTTAAAAGCACAGACCTTGAGGTTTCTTTGTATCTATACATGTTTGGGCGGATGCTAGTCATATATATATATATATATATATATATATATATATATATATATATATATATATATATACGCAAAAAACTGAATCGCATACTCGTCGATAGTTAATTATATATAGGAATAAACAAATAAACATTCGCTCATATTGAAACACACTCAACACATTCATACACAGTTACATCCATTTTTTCGTGAACAAAAATATCCATACAGATACATATATAGACATTTACTCTCTTAAGCAAAACACTGAACATTATATAAATTCTACTGCATAATAATAAATCAAGTCAATGGTTTGACACAATTGAAAATCATTCTCTCTTGCTACTTATAAAAATTTAAATACCATACCAAACAATGTAATCAAGCGCAGACTAGAATGCATCGAACGTCAAAGGGTAAATTTAAGTCATCCTATTTTAATAACACTTTTATCTTCAATATGCAATAGCTAAATAACCAAGGTAATTATTTTATTGTAAAACAAATTCATCATTAGCCGCAATAAAATATTACTTTTTTGTTTTTAAGCAAGAATAAGCAATTACTCGGAGCTTCTCTGAATTAGATAAATAACAGGAAATAACATTTAGAAAACGTTGTGCACTATTGAACTATATATATATATATATATATATATATATATATATATATATATATAATGAACACATCAATAGTGAGGAATTTTTAACAACGAAATTCTAAACACCAAAATATGGAGGATAATTATGTAAAATGACTGGATTTATAAAAGAGTCATTCATTTCGAATGCATTCTATTTCACCACGTTTTAATACTTCCATCCCCAAACATGCCCACTTTTAATTTATGTTAATAAAATGTATATCAAACAACCGATTACTAATGTAGTGGATAAATTTCTCAAAGAAAAACTTAAGGAAATATATTTAAAATTATATTTTTAAAGTTCAGTGAATTTTAGAAATGTTAATACATAGCGTAAATTATTGGCAAATTATACTTTTTAAAAGAAAGAAATGTAACATTTTACAAAATTATTGGATAGAAAATAATTCATAAGCAGAAGTTGTTAATGATTACAAAAATTTATAATATTTTGGAATATAATATTTTACAATGTTATATTGCAAATACGAATGTATATTATAAAGATTGTGTCGCGAATTCTGACGCTGAACAAATCAGGAATAAAATATTGGATCGTGCTAGAGCTTAATGTAAACCAGCCATCCTTCATGTTTCAAATATCACCATGCTAAATACATTTTTTCGATCTGGAATCGAACTGTAAATTGTGACGTCATTGACGAACATGCAAATATCTATCACTCGACAGACAGCAGCTCCATGTTAGCGTTCTAGCATAAGTCACAGATGTATATACACTGCAGTAGAACATGAAAATTCAACAAATATTTAGTCATCGTATTTAGACATTCTGTTATCTATCCCGATAAAAAAAATGTGAATGTAAATTTTGATATATATCTTTGATACGTAAATTTTGATTTCGATAAAGTATCCAAGCCCGAAACACAAAGACTATGAAACGCATAAGCAAAACAAGCGTCTCAGTATATGGGGAGCTGACAGGGAATTGGCAGATATGTTAAATGACATTACTATATACACGTTATATGCACATTGATCTGTTGTTTTTATATTTGGAATCATTTTTGTACATAACAACATCGGATAAATATAAAAATTCTAAAATAACTATAACGTAACGCGTTCGGGTGTTTTTTTTTTGTTTTTTTTTAATAAATATCTATGACAATGGAAGGCAGATTTTATTGCAAGTATAGTAGTATGTTTGTCTTTGTAATTTACCACTGAAGATGATACTGGAATAAGTCGAAATTATTTGGGTTAAAATAAAATCTACCGCCTTTATCGATTGATTGATTTCATCTCAATCTTAAGAAATTGATTCGACATCTGTAAAGGATCAGTATAAAAATAAAATATCTATATCAATGAAACACACACACATATATATATATATATATATATATATATATATATATATATATATATATATATATATATACACACACATATATATGTAAAGATATGCAAATTTGCTATGTAGCCATCGCTTGCCAAGCAATCATCGTGAAGCTGTCATTCTATATCTATCTAGCCTGAGCAACTGCATATGCATCTGTGGTTTGAATGAATATAGCTATTCTGATCTGGCATACATGATTTTCATTTAACTGATACATTTTACCTCTCTTATTCAAGATATATCAATCAGTTGTCTAATACTGGCATATGATTTCTCGAGAATCCTGCGAAATAAAAAAGCGCTGACCGGTACATCGAGAAATAGCTATCCTTTCAAGTCTAAGCATGAACCTACTGCCTATAAACACTATATTATTCTGCATGGGAGATTCAATGGACCAGCAGCACAATGAGTATAACATGTTTCATATATACATTCTTGTAACTATCAGTGTACACGCAATCATATATGCGTTACGATGTGTTCAATGTGCCTACTTAACCATCTGTATTTTAAATATCAATCTTAGGGAATTACTCTTTCGTCACCCTAGTTCCTGTACTTTACGAGTTTGTTTTATATGTGATAAGTGGCAAAGGATTAGTATATTTCTATAAATAAATAGTATGAGGGTAAAAAATAAACAATTATTTTTAACATATTTTCTGCCGACGATTACTCAAACATGAAACGTAATTCCGCAGTTCTTCTCAAACATATTCAGACGTCCGATAGCCAGTTTATTCTTAGATAAATAAACTTAAATTTAGCAAAATTAACAAAAAGAAAGGAGAAATTTTACAATTGTCATTGTACCAAATTCACGACAAATCATTCTTTAAGTAAAAGATCGCCTATATGTTTACACTAATTTAATTTATTACGAGACCGAGGTTTTAGTGAGATTGTTGCTCAGCCTGTAGAAGTGCAA